GCCCTATGGAGCAGGTTTGATTGCCATCTGGGTTTTGCAAGAAGGCAACAGGGGTTCATAAAGATTCAAAACCACCTCTGCCTGCCTCAAAAACATTTGCTCTCAGCCATTGGACTGATAATAAAGCAGGAGGGGTTACAGGGGCACAGTTGTCTAAGCACAGTTTCCCCCTTCCCCCTAGGAGCCGTTCAAGAGCCCGGTGACCAATATACTTCCTAGTCATCAGCGGAGGGTAGGCGCTTAATGAATGCTTATCCGCAAACTGGATCACAATCACGAAGAAAGCAAAGCTTACACTCCGTTCCCCGTATTTCCCACAGATCCAAAAGACCACGGGGCCCAGGACCGGGTCTCCATAGCCCAGTCATACCCGGGGGTTTTCAGGAAAGCCCCACTCGCGTCCTGCCGGGCGATCCGGGGTGGCTGAGTTGGGAGGGGGGCTACCCCAGTTCGGAAGCCCACCACGTCCGAATATCCCAGAGAGCAACCTCAGCACGCACAACAAAGCCCGCGGCCGCGTTCACAGCAGGCTTGGCTGGGGGTTCGGGAATTTCCAGAGGGTCTCGGCCTCCCCCACGGCGGGCTCGCGCCTGGCGTCCCTCACCGGGCTTCCAAGCGCTCTTGTCGGTGTCGCTAGAAAACTTGCAGAGATTGGAGCTGAGAAAAGGCGGGCAAAGTTCCTTTTGATAAGTTATGAATGGGGAAAAAGTGTTTGTAAAACTCATTGTTAAAACCATGGAGCCCGAGACTCGGCCGGCGCCGGGCCAATGGGAGCCCGGAGGCTATTTTGAAATCGCTCCCGTCTCAGCCAATAGGCGTGCAGGAGGCGAATCCCCGCGCCAGCGCCGGCCAATGAGCGCGGCGCTATGCTAAGGAGTCGGGGGCCGGGCCCCTCCGACTGTCAGCGGGTTAAAGATGGAGCCGGCAGGCGAGGGGCCGCCACGAGGTACAGGGTCGTCTGGTTGGGGACCCGGGGGCAGACGATGGCCGGGATCCTCCTCCATCTAACCCTCCGCATCCTGACCCGGCCCTGGGCGGAAGGGATGTCTGCGTGAGTAGCTGGGTCTGAGGAGGGGATCCTGGGTTGGGCTGGGCGGCCCTACCCGGCGGGTCAGGCGGAGGGGCGCGGCCAGGATCCCGGGCGCCCTCTTTGGAACAGGGAACTCTAGAAGGGTGGGGACCCCCATCCTCTGCTCTGCTCTGGGCCTCCAGGCAGAAGAATATGTTAGAACAGAACCCGGAGCCTATGTAGTGCAGGGTAAGGGGCCAGGGAAGGGATGGGGTCGTCAGCTAGAAAGGGCGCGTCGTCCCGGGGTGGGGCCGCCCTTCTTCTCCTGGAGCCGCGGGCTGAGTCAGGGCGCAGGGTCGTCGGGCTGTACCCACCCCTCTCCGGGCGCTAGCCGGCTTTGGACTGCGGCTAAACGCGGGTCCGTCTTTGTGTGTGCGCCCCCTCCCCTGCGTGGCCCATCAGCTCCTGCTCCGGGACTGGAACTACCCCCTAGTCTGGGGTTTCTTCTCCACCTGAATCCGGAGCGTTCTGGGAAAGGCCTGGGTGTCCTGGGTTCTGAAGACCCCAAGGACGCACCCCGCTGCGGCCTCCTTCCCTGCCCAGATGGACTGGACAGGGGCTCTGGCCCCACCCACCTATCCATGGTTGAGCTTCCCGCCCTGCATGTATTGGGGGTGGTGGGGTCCCCCCTGCTGACCGCAGGTGCTCTGACGAGGTTGCACTACTGTGCTCTGAGAAGCAGTGCAATGATATTGTCAAAGCATCTGGGACCAGCCTTGGGGATCTCCCTCCCTACAACCCTCACCTCCCACTCCCCAGGCAGGGCCTCTTGGGCTTGCAGGCCCTCCCCTCCCCCCTGCCCAGTTCGCTCCCTTCTCCATGGAAACTTGAGATTCTAGCCAGGCCTGGGCCTCTGGGGTCAGAGGGCACCCTTCCCCCAGGCAGAGGCCCCGCCCCAGCCAGCCTGCATTCCAGGTCTCAGATCCCTACAGACCACCCTGTGGGAGGCACTGGCAGGCCTGCCCGACACTCTTTCCCTGTTGCACTACTGTGGGCCACTGGGAAGCAGTGCAATGATGAAAGGGCATCGGTCAGGTCCGGCCTGCTACCCTGGAAAGGGGAAAGGGAGCTTGCTGCCTCACTCCACTTTTCAGTTGAGAAAGTTGAGGTGCCCAGAGGGTAAGTGTTTCCACTGGTTAGGCACAGATATGAAGCTGGACTGGACCCTCCATCAGAGGATCAGGTGGGTGCAGAGCTGGAGGATCATCCCTAAACTCTCCATCCTGGTCATGGCTGGACAGGTGCAGGAGAAGACCCCCCCAGCTTCTGAAAAGCTCTTGTTTGAAGGTCTTTCCACATTGGGTCCCTGGGGTAAGACTGGGACTCCAGGCCTGATCAGGGTCTTAGGGGAAATACAGGCCCACTCCTTTGCATGGAAGATCATTCTGGGCCTGGCTTGGACCCAGTCTCTGGAGAGAATGTTCTTCTGGGTAGCAGTTGGGGAGGTGGGGGTAAGGCAGGCCTTCCAGGAGGCAGCCTTCACCCCAGGGCATCAGTCATATCTGGACTCAGCTGGAGTGGTATTATGTGAGATGGATGGGTGGACTTGGGATACAAAGCCTGCAAATGATGCCTACCAACCATACCAGTTTGTTCTCTTACAGAGAGGTGTGCCCTGAACCTGCAGGAGGGACTGAGAAGTGTCTAGTATGCCAACCATCCCGGCTGGAATGAGGGGTTGGAGCTGAACTTCCAAGGAGCCTGACCCCAGGCATGCTTGGATGACCACCTCTACCATCAGACCTGACACACTGCAAAAGGTTTCTATGTGCCCAGTGACGGTCATTCAGATCTTTTTTTTTTTTTTTTTTTTT